TTATATGATTTGCAAATATCTCTCCCCTTTTGTGGGTTGTCTTTTCATTTTCTCAATAGTGTCCTTTGATGCATAAAAGTTTTTAATTTTAATGAAATCCAGTTTATCTATTTTTCCTTTGCTGTTTGTGTTTTTGGTGTCATATTTAAGAAACCATTACCTAATCCAACGGCATGAAGATTTACACCTATATTCCCTTCTAAGGGTAGACAAACACCAAAGGAGCCCATCTGGACCAGACTGGCTCCTTCCTCCAGCTGGTGATGAGTTGTCACCACTTCCTTAGTACAGAGGAACTGTGGCCTGCTCAGAAGCCACTGCCAGGCCTTCAGAATGCTTTGCGTGTCTATGTCTTTGCGGAATGAGCCAAACGTAGTTTTCTTATGCCCTGTGAGATTAGACGTGCCCAACAAAAGCTGTTCTGGTAAAGAACTAGCTCTCAGTATTTTTATACTGCAATACTTGTAGAAATTCTGGCACCTAGAGAGAGTCTACCAGGTACACACCTTTGAACTTTCACCCTTGAACAAAAGATACCTGCATTATTTCTATCTGAGCAGAACAAAGTCCCTCTCTATTCCCAATGCCTCCTACAGTTTTGCTCTGTGGGAGACCTGGTTGGTGTGATATTCTCTTTCATAAATGTAGTGGATTGTAAAAAGCAGGACGGAGAGGGAACTGCAGGGGAGTTCAGAGTCAACTTTCTAGAGGATAAAACAAACCTCCCTTGATAACTATTTGGAAATTATTTCAAAAGAAAATTTTTTTTGCCATGCTGGCAATTGCTCAGAGATATGGCTTTCCATCAGAGTGCATCTCCACCACCATCCCACCCTCTTCTCATCCACAGATGCCTCTTACCTCACCTATTTCAGAATTCTAGGAAGAAGCTCCACATGAATCACAGTGTCTCAGAGTAATGGTGAAATAATCCTGCCTTGGGTCAACATATTGCTTCTTTCTGGGCATATGCAAATATACACCCACCTTAAAATATATTCATTTTATGATGCTTACATTACTTTGGCTAAAATATCATGGAATCTTTGATGCTTGCCATGTGCTTAACACAAATCGTTTCATTTAATTTTCACAAGCTTGTGAGATGGATATTACCATCATCTATATCTCACAGATGTGGAAACAGCCTTTATAAGGTGAGGAAACGTACTCAAGGTCATTGAACTCGTAAGTGGAAAGTCCAGGATGCATACCCAGGGCCCTCTGCTGACTTTGGACCCAATGACTTTTATTAGTATGCAGTCCTACCTGCCTGTGCTTGGCTCTGCAGATGTAGCTGCTCCAAGCAAGTCCCTCTCCTCTCTATTTTCTGTTTCTCCTTGGCCGAGAGACTCTAGGATTTTGAACCCGAGTCCTGGTTATCGCCAGAGGTGGCCATTCCACCCTGACCTGTATCTCCTTGGAGGGACTCTCCCATTGTCCTGCTTTCTGTGCCTGACTCCTGGTCTTGCAGAGTGAGTACCCTAGGTCTGATCCAACCTGTCATTGACCCACTCAGCAGGTGGAGCATTTTTCTGCAAAAACTCCTGGGCCAATTTGTAATGTTAGATATTGCAAAGGCACCCTGCACAGGGTTGTCATAAGTTACACTCCCACAATGCAAGAGGGTACCTGTTTCCCCACAGGCTAACGAGTACAGCTGTTATCCAACTTCTTGACTATTACAATCCAATAAACAAAAACTAATAGATCATTGGAGTTTTAATTTGCATTTTCTTATTATGAGTGAAGTTGTACACGTTTCATATTTTTAAGATCCATTTCTATTTCCTTTTCTAAGAACTCTCTGGTTATAGCCTTTCTCCATTTTTCTGTTGGGTCGACAGTCTTTTCCCATATTGCTTTCTAGTTTTTCATGTATTAGGGAAGTTAGCCATTTGGATATGATACAACTTGCAAATATTTCTCCAAGGTAGTGTTTGTCATTTGATTTTTTTTTTTTTTAAAGCATAACGAACCTTTTAAGATTTTTTATGTACTTGAATTGACCAGTCTTCTCTTTTAAGGATTCTGGGTTTGTGCCATACTTCAAAAGACATTTCTAGCTCTGAGAATATTGTCTTCTGATACTTTTATTTCATTTTGTGTAAAAATTTAATTGCTAAAACCATCTGGAATTTACTTTGTGCAGTCTGAGGTTGGGACTCACCTTTGCTCTTTTTCCTGAGAACCTCTCTAAGTTAACCATTGTTTCCCCTGGGCAGTGCAGAATGCTACCATTGTCACATGAATACCCAAGCACTTCTGTGTCTCTCTCAGGACTTTCTGTTCATTTCTGGAGCTTCATAAACTTTGATCTCTTAGGGCTGGCCTCCCTTTGAGTCACTCCCCATAATAAAATACCACCTATTGGTTCCCATCACCATTGGAATTGAACTGGGGAGCAAACGGATGATTCCTGTATGGCCTCTGAGGAAGGAAAACCTTTCTAGAAACCTAACTCAGGAGAGTAGAGAAAGGAAAAGCTTTGGAGTCCGTAGACAAGGGTCAAACCTGGGCTTTGCCTCTCACTAACAGGATGACCTTGGTAAGTCATGTGCCCTCTCAAGCCTCAGCCTCATCTGTAGTTGGGGACAACTACCTGACAAGAGTTGACATGAGGATTAAATGCAGTAAACTATCTGCCATGTGGAAGGGATTTGGTATTGATTATATTCCTATGTCTTCCGTATTTTCCTCAACATTTCAGCACAAAAACAAACTCAACTCTAAGTAATGCAGAAATCCTCATGTTAGCAGAAGCAGGATCCTGGGGTGGAAAGAGTACAAACTTTGGAGTGAGTCTGACCCGTGTCCAAACAGTCCTTTCACACTCCAGTCTCAGATCTAGAAACCACCACCACTATTTACTAGTTGCAAGCACTCATACAAGTCCCTGTATCTCTCTGTGCCTCCTTGTCCATTTTGATAAAATGAGAATAGTTCTTGCCCTATATGGTTGTTGTGAGGATTAAATGAGATAATGCATCTAAGGGCTAATTACAGTGAATGGCATTTAGTAAGTGGTGACGTGTTGTTAATGTTAGAGGTGTGTATAGGGCTTAGCCAGTGCCTGTACACATCTCTCTCCTCACAGCCATGTCAGGGGGATATCAGAGGGACTTTAGTGGGATTTGAGTTACCAGTGTATGATGAAGAAAGGGAAGGGTACACCCTTCTAGTACCCACTGATCACCAGGTGCCCTGTACATCCCCCAAACAAACAAGAAAGCCCTTGCCCCAGAGCCCACTTGCCCTGGGCACACTATCCACCATCTGTCCCCAGATCTTTGCTGCTCTTCTTCATCCTTTGTATCTAGATGAGCTTCCTCTTTTTCCAAGTGGGCTCTTGGCTGGATTGATTGATTGATTGATGACCAAGTGGGCTCTTGGCTGGATTGATTGATTGATTGATTCATTCATTCATTCATTTAGGACTCCTCCACTAAATTTGGCAACTCCCTCCAATCTCTCACTACCCATGGCAAAAATATCACTCCTGTAAGGACAGACTATCTGAAATGGGTGCATGTGTGGAAACTACAGACTGAGTGCAATTTTAGCCACCAACAACACCCATACCACCACTAATAACCACCTCTCTCTCTTGCCCTCCAGTTATGCATCAGTGCTCCCACTATTTTGAAAACAGATCCCAAAATCTAAAAGTTTGGGAGCACCAAGCCAAGGAGTCAGGAACATGAGGTGGGAAGAAACAGAAGACGGGCTGGATAGGGAAGTAGGGGTTGTTGGTGCCAAGCTCTGCCAGTTACGCTAAAATATGTTTTTTTGACCAATGGCATGTGAATGTCATGCCATTAGATTGATAATTCAGAAAGGTCATTCTGAAGCTGATACAGATAATAGATTGAAGGGATTAAGCCTGGAAGCAAAGAGATTACTGCAGTGGCCCTGGTGAGAAGTGACGTGGGCTATAGGAGCAGTGGGCCAGAGAGAAGAAATGAATTCAGGAGGCCTTTTAACATAGAAATCAATAAAACTTAGATGTTAGGACAAAGGGCATGACAGAGGTTATAAAAATTGTGCTTTTGAACTTGGAAGAGTGGATAGATCAGCTTCTCTGGGCTTTCCCCCTCAAACCCCAACCCACAACTAGCTTCTGGTCTCAGCTTAAATATCACCTCCTCAGAGAAGTCTTCCCTGATGACTCTGCCCAGTGGAAAATCCACTCTGGTCCTGTATTGTATCAATCCACCCTGTTTATTCCCTTTATAGCACTTATCACAATTTGTAGTGTCGTTATCATTTGTCTCCTTCATTAGACTGTGAAGTCCATGGGATACGATAAGGTCTGTCTGGTTTTTTTTATCCCCGTGCCTAATATAGGACCTGGCATATACCAGGCGATTAATACTTTGTTGAACGAATGAATGAATAAGAACAAAAGAAGGAGGGACCTGTTGGGAACAAGATGCTCAGGAGAGCCCCGTTTGTGGCATCCATGAAAAGCTCTCTAGCAGGCAGTTGGAAGCTGGGTCCAGAGCTCAGAACAGAGAAGAGCTGCAACTCTGGGACTCGCTTGTATAATCAGACTCTGACAATGAATTGAGAGCACTTAGGTTACCTTGCCAGAGAACTGCCACCACGAAACTTCGTAGGCACGCCGATTCCTCCGCGCCTACTCAAACCCACTGGGAATAGGGCCCAGGAATCTGCATGCTTAACACGTTCTCCAGGTGACTTTGACGCACCCTGAGGTTGGAGAGTTCATCTCTGGGTTAAGAGGAGCGAGGCTGAGACGTTGACTTTGGGTAGCCAGGTGACAGGGTAGTGGAGTAGAGGGGAGGGGATGAAGCCGCAGCCTGCCTCGCTGCGGTGCTGGGACCTTTGGCTGCACTTGGCCTCGGGTCGCGCTCCGCCCCGCGCTCGCCCCGCCCCAGTCCCTCCGCTCTGCCCTCTCATTGGCCTCCGCCCTGCCCGTCTTCCGGCCTCGGCCAATGAGGCCGGCACACACCGGAAGTCGGAAGCCGGAAGCCGGAAGCACAACAGTGAGGCTGGCGGCGTTTGCTAGGCAGCTGTTCCCTGGAACTATGCTTGGCCTCCGATCAAGCCTGACGACGCGGTGCTTCCCCACGCTGAGGCTGCCCCGACGGCCGCCGCGGCCACCTGTACTCCGGCTGTTAACTGTGCAGTCGGGGGTGGGTGCCCTGGGGCGGGCCATGGACGAGCTGCTTCACCGCGCGGTACCCGCGACGCCGTCCTACGAGCTGCGCGAGAAGACCCCGGCGCCGGCGGAGGGCCAGTGCGCGGACTTTGTGAGATTCTACGGCGGCCTGGCCGACGCGGCCGAACGCGCCGAGCTGCTGGGCCGCCTGGCGCAGGGCTTCGGCGTGGACCACGGCCAGGTGGCAGAGCAAAGCGCCGGCGTGCTCCAACTGCGCCAGCAACCGCGGGAGGCGGCGGTGTTGCTGCAGGCCGAGGACCGGCTGCGCTACGCCCTGGTGCCGCGCTACCGCGGTCTCTTCCACCAAATCAGCAAGCTGGACGGCGGCGTACGCTTCCTGGTGCAGCTGCGGGCCGACCTGCTCGAGGCGCAGGCCCTCAAGCTGGTGGAGGGGCCGCACGTCCGGGTAAGGCTCCGACCCGCGGGCAATGGGGACAGCCCAGGTCGTGCCCCCGCCTTGCGCCTAGGTCTGCGGGCTCTTGACGGTCTTCCCTGTATAGTCCTCACCTGCCGCTCAAGCCCCAAACACTCTGCCTTCCCTTCCTGAAGCCCTGCACACTTCCCCTTGAGTTGCACTCCTGAACCCCGTCCCTTCCCGACGCTTTCTGAATCCTTAGCTCCCTCTAGTGATATCTTGCTCCAGTCCTTACTGTGTTGTGCTTACTAGAAATGGCACTTGCCTACCGTTAAAGGCAACTGTCACGCCTCGTTCATGATTAGAGCGCTCCATGTCTGTTTATTATTTTAGCTGAGAAGTTTCATCTATGCAGTATATACTTGAGTGAGTACCAAACTGGGCATCAGGCAGCCTTTCTGAAAACCTGGATGGTGTCAGCAAAAATTAAATGCATACTCACGGTGTGTAAACTGTCGTCCTGTAAGAAGTCTTGTGAAACAGCACAAAGATGACTAGATGATGAGATTGCCACCGTCTAGGAAGCTGGGCGCCTTCTGGTCGTCTGTGTGCTGCATAACCTCTCTGCTGCAGGGCTTTTTACCTTCTGGAATTCAGCCCTGAAACTTGATTCTTGGTTGACTTCTTGAAGTAATCAAGTGCTTAGCACGGTGAGCTCATGTTAGATGCAAATAAATACTTCGATTTAAATAATGACTTTTTTGAAAGAGTGCTAATAGTTGAATATAGTCCTTTTGTACTATTGGTTTTAAATGTGGAGGGACCACAACTTGCTTTTAGTAAACAAATTATTTGAAAGTTTCAGGAAGTTCTGACATTCAGAATTTCATACTGAACAGTTGAACAATATGTCCTAGTTTACATAAGAACACTGGCATGGTAGTTATAGTGTTTATTGCCTCACTCTAGATAGGTGATATGCATATCCACTTTTACACTAAAAGAAACGTATATCGAGGTTGTATGACTTGCCCAAGAACTTAGAGCAAATAGATATGTCTTGGATCATCCACCCAGATCCAAATCTGGGGTTCTTTGTACTACACTTCATATCCCCATCATGTTATATGAGTTATAGTGGTGTCAGAAACTATCTTTCTTAGTTACTTAGCCTTAGATGCACAGAAATTGGATGTTGTTAAAGATTAATCTCAGAGTAATGATAATGGCTGTGATTTGATTTCTCATGATAGCTGGTCGATTTACAATACTGTTACCTAGGGCCACAAACCTTCACAGACTGAGAACCCACAGTTGTTTATTGCACCAGCACCAAATTAGTCATGGAGTCTTACTATGCTGAATCGACCATGTTACTGGCTCAAGCCATCTGATTCGTGTTTCACATACTTCATGCATTTCCATCTGATTCCTCTCAAGGGAGGCTTGGGTGTAGCCTATCATCCAAGCGGGCTTTTTTTCTTCATGCAGGGACCAGTGCTCTATGACGGTTCTTCTGGAACTTGATTCTTACTGCATAGGAGGCTGTCTCAGAATGAAATCATCTACCCATTCACCCATCCAGCACGCAGCCATCTGGTGTTTATCTTATATGAGGCATGCTCTAGGCTCCAAGGTTGCTTGGTCCAGGAGCTTCCACTTTAGAATGGGAAGAGTTGGTAACAGGCATAGTGGGTAGTAAGTGCTTTTCATGAACTTGCTTATTTCATCCTTAGCAAGCCATAGGTAAGGGGATTAATGCTTGCTGAGGTCAAGTGCTGTGCCCAGAATACAGAGCTGGTGACGGTTGCAACTCACGTCATCAATCAACTCGATGGCTCCACGGTCACTACACAGTGACTCCTGGAGTTGACCATTTAACTAGATCTAAAATGGATTTGTTCTCTTTGAATTTGCCTTTTTCTATAAAATGGAGGACAAGAGAAAAAAAATAGTTAATTGATGGCTTTGTTTTATGTAGTTTAACAAGTCAGGAGTTTTAGTATTCTCTAGTTGTGACTGTATTTACTCTTTCCACAACTTTGTGCAAGCTTCCATCTTAGCAATCCCAGTGCCCTTCTCTCTCTAAAACCACAGGTCAGTCTTTACTCCCTTGTTGAAAAACCATCAAGCTTCACGTGCCAGAAGGATCACATTTAGTCTTTCCTTTGGTTCCTTTGATGTACATCAAACCATCCTGGACAGTATTTCCAGCCTTACTCCTCATTACTCTCACCTGTTGTCTCTAGCCAAGCCTGCTTTTGGATGCACAGTTCCTGAATCCCTGTGTGATTCCTACTTGGGAGGCTTGGTAGAATAAGAGCTGCCTCTACCCCTAGCCCATTCACTCAGCTTTTCTAACCACTCCAGTTCAAAGTGGTCTCACCTAGTTTTGAGCCTCATGGCATACGTTATTGTCTGCACCCTTCACTTGGATTTTATACATTAACCACAGAATTTAGTGTTCGAAGTATATTATTCCCCCTCCCAACCCCAAACTAGATGATCAGCTACTTGAAAATGGGGAACCTTGTCTTTAATTTCTTGCATAGCAAAATGATAAATGAAGTCTTAAGATAAACTCCTGGGTGCCCCACTATAAGACAAAGTCAGCACTCTAATCCCCACTTGTCTTGATGTCAGACTGCTCCTCTCACAGAGTTTCGAGGCTGGAAGGGACCCCAGAGGGCTTGGAAGTTTTCTGCACAGCCAAGCAAGACATCATATCAGACATTCGGACTGCCCTTGGCAACTTTCAGTGTGTGTTGGCCCTGGGTGGTTTCTGATGTCCCTTCCAGTTTTAAATCTGCTGATTCTCTGACATATTAATGAATGTACCCCCTCGCTCTTGCCCACACGAGAAAACTCTCGATTATCATGCAGTTGAGAAGAAACCATGGCAGTTGAAAGCTGTGACATTGAAACTTGTTGGGAGAGAGGAGCTTGCCTTGGGGGAATCCAGAGCTGCCAGGAACACCAGTTCCTCAGATGTTCAGTGTTCCCTTTTTTTTTCACCCAAGCTGTCAACACACAGGAGGGGAAAAGCGTCGCATACCTGCAGGCAAAAAGCCACATGGACTAAAGATATTTTTTGAACAAAGGATAAATAACGATAGCCTGACCTTTGCCTCCGCACTTGGACACATTGGGTTTAGAAGCCTTTTCTAGTTTTCATTATGCCTCTTCATTGCTCTACTTAAAAATTCTGCTTTTATATCTAGTGCATCTAACTGTTAGGGGCTAAATCTGGTCCCTTCTCCTTTGCTCTACATAGTTATATATAAAAAAAAAAAAAATTAATCCCTGTCATTGAAATTATTCAGTGAATAGTTTTTTCTTGTTGTTGTTTTTTCATCCATAGAAATTGTCACTGGGATCTGATATTCTAATCTGTCACCAGAATCACTTAATGCCATCTCGATTCCCTTCTACCTCATCCTGGATTTTGCATCCAAGTTAAAGAGGCGGTACAGCTCTTTAACATTAAGTTCCTAAGAACTTTTCACTCTTAGGAACTTAATGTTAGAAACCACCAGAAGTTTGGTACGTGCAGCTTTGGGGCAGGAGTCCCAGACCCGCAGGGGCCTGTGATGCTCTGTGATGCTGGGGGATTGGGGACTTCCCTCTGCAGTTGCCCCAGATATCAGCACCCCTTACTGTGTGCACACAGCATGTACCCTGTCACACGGGCATGCTACTCACCTGGGCCCCACTGCCCTTAGGACTAGCTAGATAAAACTCAAGTAAACACACGCTAGTTTACAGGAGAGCTGCTGTTGGCTTCAGCCTGAGCATTATTATGGAATGGATTCGGTCATTGCACGCCCAGCACAGGTTTCTGTTTACTGGATCCTATAGGGTACAAAGGCACTTTAGAATAACTGGCAATGTGAAGCCAAAAAGGATGCTGATTTCAGTGACTTGCGGGACAGTGGGTGTGGTGGAAGCAGCACTGGATGGGGAGAGTAGAGGCCAGTTCCCTTCCTGTCTTTGCCATCCGCTGGTTAAAGGCATGATTTTAGGTGATCTTAGCCAAGTCACTTAACTCCCTGAGCCAACTGGCACTGCACTGAGGTGAAAGATTCAACTGGTGGTCGGTTTGCTCAAGGTCAGCCTGCTTCTCTTCTAAGAAATACCTGAGGGAGCTTTGCTAAAAATCCAGTTTACAAATGAGGGCACGGTTTGTTAAGATATTGGTCTCTGACCAAGGGTTGCGATTATCGGAAATATGAGAAGAATCGGAAGACTGACACTTCCATTTCAAATGTAACCCAACATGAAGGCCAAAGGCAAGAGAACCGAGTGGGAGTGTATTTCTTTCCTTGGATATTTTATATCAGACGGGGTTTCTTTTCTCTCCCATGGGGATTCTTAATCCTTTTAGATTTGAAGTTCAGGAGCAATTTCAAGACTGCTGGGAAGATACAAGTGCTACCTTGAAGAAAGTTTCTACAACCTGGCAAAGATCAAATATCTGTGTTGTGTTTTTTGAGATAGCAGATCTGGTATGTGGATGCTGTGTGTTGACGCCTCCTGTGTAGGTGTGTATATGTGGGGGCAATTATTTGTGTGTGGGGTGTGCTTTCCGTGTGTGTGGTTTATAGGCTTTCGTTTTTCTCCAGAGACGTTCCCAAAGGCCTATTTGGGTTGAAGAGTTAGATTTCTTACAGATAAAATCCCCAGTGAGACTGAACTGAACTCATCATAGCAGAAGGTCTGAGCGCTGGTGAGCAATTTGTGGGCACTACTAGCGGGAAGTTGACATAGAAAATGGGAGGGGGTTTTGATGAGCAATTTCAATGTAGACATTTCGGTGAAATGAGAGGTGTGCAGGCCTTAACAGATGCATAGGTGGAACACGAGAGAAGGAACTAAACGTGCGTCAGACCTTGTCAGCGTCCCCACTGTCGCAGTGCCCAGCTGGCTACACAGTGGTACAACTTCTTTTGGTGGTTTGTCTTGCTTTTAAGTTAGTATAGTGGGCCTTGTTGGTTCTACTAAATTCCGTACTTAGCTAGACCAAAAAAGAACATATTCATAGATATGTTCTGGGGGTCAGCAGCTTGCACGAGTTGGAATTGTGCCTAAAATGTCTTAGCTTCAGCACCGTGACCCTCTCCGCTGGCTTTCAGCTGCCTTCCCCAGCTCAGGGCTTCTGAACAATGAAAAGTAACTCTTCTTCACATACCAAAAATGGGGAGATCTTCATAGCCCATTCAGAAGAGAGCATAGGAGACGGCGTTTTCTCTCCTGAAAGATAGAGTTGAGTGACCTTCTGAACGGTGTCATCCAGGATAACTGGAATTAGCAGTACAGAAAGAACTGAGGCTTGACACGACTTTGGCATTATCACAGTATTCCCTGCAGTTGTATTTGAGTCTCAGATTGTGGATAAGTGATTGCAAAATTAATGAGCAGAAAGCATAAGTGATTTCTTTCCCTCCTGTTCTGTGTGATCCAGTAGCCTTGCTGCATGGGGTGGTTAATTCCAGCCTGAACAGCTGTCATCGTATTAGAACTAAGCAGTAGAGACTTGTAACCTTTAACCTAGTTCCCAGTTCTCGTGTACCAGCGTCACATTTTATAGCTGTCAATAGCCCAAAATAGAATGAAGAGGCTTTTAGACAGGCAGCTCTCATCAGCCAAACCATTTCTTTCATAATTAATACTGAATTAATACTGAAACTAGATAGTTCCAGCTTTTTTCTATTGCGAATATAATAGAGATGCCAGTACATCTTACATGGAACTTGGCTAATTCATTTCTAACCATTCGGAGCAGAGGTTCCTAATCCGGGGTCCATGAACCCCTGGGGGATGACTCATAGATGTGTTTCAGAGGTCTGTGAACCCCAGGAAATTGTATGCAAAATTTAATTAATGTGTTTGCATGTTTCTAGGGAGAGGGTCCCTGGTTCTTAGCACATACTCAAAAGGTTGTGAGGACCCCAAGTCATGAACCATTGTAGTCAAATGTAGTAAATAGAGTTTTATAAGGACTCATTCTGTGTTGCCTAGCAAATGACATGTCATATCCTCCTTTCCTGCTACTTCCTAATCACCATTCTTTAGCTTTTCTTCTTTTTTTCGTTTGATATCAATCTGTTAACCATCTTCCACATGAAAGGCCCTGAAGAATGCTCTGAGAACCAGAGGAATGAATCAGAAATGACCTCTGCCCTTACGGAGCTTAGGGCCAAGTGAAAGAGACTAGATATGGAATCAATAAAGACTTAGAAGGAATTGCAAAGGTCATCTGATCCACCTTATTACTGGATTCTTAAATCCTTTTTAAAACAGCTCCACCAAGTCCTTGTCGACCCTGTGCTAGATCACTTCCCATGGGAAGGTTCACGCTCTTTCGGGATGACATCTGTGGACAGCTCTAGCGATTCAAAAGCTCTTCTTTACATTAAGTTTGATCCAGGTCTGACTGTCTGTGTCTTCTCCTAGTTGGCCCTAGATTTAGCCCCCTCTCCTCACCATGCTAGCTGTTAGGAAGCTTATTGCTGTTACGTGTTCGGTGGTGGTCAGGGTAGATTAAACTGAGATGGTTCTGCTTCTCTCCTTTCTTTATGCACCTCTTGTTCTTGCTTGAAAGGTTTCAGTCAAGTGGATTTTTGATGGTAAAGTTGACTCAAATAATTTTGGAAATAGATATAAAGTGAAGTGAAATTAGAACAATTTCATCAAGTGTAAATGAGTCGATCGCCAGATACACTATTATTTTATGTCCCACTAGGAAAGGAAAAAAAATGCTACTAGTTGACCTGCCATCATTTGCAAGTTGCATCAAGGTGACTTTAGAGATGTTAAAATATGAAAATGCACATCTTAGAGTTGACAAAATATAGTACCTGAACCCAGTACTTGCTTCTCTCAGGAAATAAGAAATGATGTTCTAGCATATCGAAAACTGTTCCTCAGGGGATGGGGACTTGAGCTCTGTGCTGCCTGTGTTAGCATTTCCTTTATGATGCACCATTCCTTGCTATATGAACTTTATGTTTTTATTTGCGTTCTTTACGGTGAATGAATTGGAACATATTTGATTTGGGAAACTTACTTCAAATCCAATACTCCCGTTCAGGTATCTTACAGATTGAAGTAGTAAAGTCTAAATGGAAAGCTGAATTCAGTCTAACTTGGTTGAGATAAGAGTTCAGTGGAGCTATTTCAGAAAAGGCCATTTGGAGATTCCTCTTGCACAGTCTCCATGGGCATCACGTTTTGGTGTTTTAACTCACCATGTTGGAGACGATGCAGAGATGGGCTTTATCTCTTTTCATTGGAAGGCTGACGCTTTCTCTTCTTTTCAGGAAATGAATGGAGTGCTGAAAGGCATGCTGTCAGAATGGTTTTCTTCAGGGTTCCTAAACCTAGAACGGGTGACCTGGCATTCGCCATGTGAAGTGCTTCAGCGAGTCAGTGAGTAAGTATTCAGACTTTCACATTCCTTGTATTTTAGCTGAAAACTAATCTCAATTCACATGTGCATTTTATTCCAAGCCTAATAAAACCCAGACACAGTATTCATAAATGTTGTGGCTGCCCTAGCAGGTGATGTTGAGATTCTGGAGGAGGAAAGGGCACAGGTAGAAACTGATCATTCTGCGGGCAAACGCAGAGTCTCATCTATGTCCTCATATTTCAAGCACAGGGGTCCTCTTTTTCCCCAGACCCCATCATCAGAGCTATATGAATTCACTGGGCCAGGTATTTACATTAGGAATCCAAACAGCATCCGTCTCATCTAGTTGTTAAAATTTCTCCCTTGGATAAAATCTCTAAATTAACTATATTGGTGCATAATTTCAGCACGTCCAAGACACAGTGAAAGATGCAGGCTAGCATGACATGGCTTTTCTCACAAATAGGAGAAGCTCTTTCCACCTCAGGATCTTCACATTCCATGTCGTCTTAAGGAATCTGAGGTTTGGGAAATGTCCTACCAATTGGAAGTGTAACAGATTCGAGGGGCTGATAGTGCCTTCTGCCATTTCACATGCTGAAAGCAAAGTAGTGGTTGGCTGAGGTTGCCAGCCAGATGGAACCGGGAGACGTGTGTTTGCGACATTGACTTCAAACTGCGGAGATTCAAAGGAAATAAAAGACGAAATGTTCGCCGTTGAAGCATCTGGTTAGGTTTCTGCGTTAAAACCTGCTTCCCAAGGGCCTCGCAAACTAGTCTTAAGACCAGGCATTAAAAATGAGAGCACAAATTTTGTGTGTGAAATGGTCATTAATTATAGTTCCTTTCAACCAGTGCTGTTTCACATTAAAATGATTTTCTTTGAATTTTCCCGGAGTCAATTAAAGCTATATTTAAAGGATTTATTTGACTTGAGTGAATAATATGAATGAGAATTAGCAATGGTTATTTAACTTGTAAATTGTACATTTGTCTTAGCTCTTTGTAATGTTCTCCTCAGGTCTGAGGCTGTGCATCCTATAAAAAATTGGATGGATCTGAAACGACGTGTCGGCCCTTACAAGAGATGTTACTTTTTTTCTCACTGTTCAACCCCCGAGGAGCCCCTCATAATTTTGCATGTGGCACTGCTCAGTGAGATCCCCAGCAACATGCAGGTACCTGCGGACAGTCCATTCACGACAAAGTAGGCATTCTGCAGAGTCCCTTAAGTTTTTTTAAACTTAGTTTCATCCCCTTTTTAAAAACAAATTGCTTTGGACTTTTATGGATATTCTAGTTGGCTAGGTGAAATCTCCAAATTTGTAGCTACAGAATATAGACGTGTAGTATGTAGACAGTTATGAAATGAGGAGAGCATTCATCTGGGTCTGTTGACTTTGAACTGAGACATGATTGAAGTATATTACAGAATATTTTTGTGAGGCAGAAAAGAGTTGCAAGGGGAGAAGAGATGGAAAGGCACACGGTTCAACTTTTAAGCGTTTGTTAAGTAGCTATGGGTAATTTAAAAAGACATGTGATTGAAAAATAGACTCATGCTGCGTGCCTGATATAGGCACAGAGCTCTGCCCGGTGAGTGGAGGTCATGGGAGCTGCATTTGATAGGCCCTGCCTGCGGCCAGCTGCTTTCTCCTTCAGGAGTTGGCGAGAATGTTTGAAACATTCCTGGAGGCACAAAGCGGGGAGAAGAACCAATGCAGGGAGTGGGGCTAGCAGAACAGATCTCAGTGATGATAAAGACAGGTGAGGGGAGGCGGAGACACCTGGGTCACTGGGTTTTGCTTAGACCAGGAGGCCACAGTGGGCAAGGGCTTTGGGATGGGGATAGCCTGTTCAGAAGCTGGAGAGATGATAAGAAGTCATAGGATGGGCACACTGAGTGGCCTTCCTAGGGTCATAAGGCAGAGAAATCGAGAAGGCAAATGAGCAGATGTCCTTAATCACCAGGGAGAAATCCCTTACGATTTTTGTGTTTGAAGGAGCCAGCGTGCTCTCGCACTAGAAGTTATTACCGCCTCCCCGAGGACAGTTTGGTGATACCAATTAAAATATAAAACATGCATTCCTTCAACCTAAAAATTTCACTCGGTAATTTATCCTAGAGAGATACTCAGCGTGCAGGCAGTTGCTCACTGCAGCGTTGTCTACGGTTTTGAAAGGTTGGACATGATAACCTAACTGCCCATCAGAGGAGGCATTAAGGAAATGACAGCATACACACCTGGTACATCCTCACATGCATTGGAGTTCTGTGAACGTATTTTTATATTTTTATATTCTGTGAACTAGTTTTATATTTTTGACATGGAAAGCCAACCTTGACATACTATTGCATGAAAAATCAGGTTACAGAATAGCACGGATGGTGTGATCTTATTCATAGTATGAATAATATGAATTGCGCATTTGCTCTGTGCCCGTCAGCCACAAAGCATATTCCACGTGTTACTGCCACAGCACCCTGTGTGGTAGGTGGTATTAGTAGCATGATTGTCTTCATTTAGACATAAGAAAACTGAGGCTATGGGAAACTTCAGTGATTTGCCCACAGTGGTAGAATTAGTATGGGCGGGACCAGGATTCCAGCCCAGCCCACATCCTGGCCCTGAGGGCAGCTGCCTTCCAAGTGTGGAGAACTGAGCGCCGGGCCTATGAGAGATTGCATGTGTACGCAGTTTCGTGCGTGCGCGTGTTTAAGTATATACGTACCGATAGCCAGTGAGACAGACCTAGAAAGGTGTCATCAAAAGGTTAGCAGCAGGACTCAGTGTCAGGTTTTGGAGTAATTTGTGATTTCTTCTTTGCGCATTTATTTTTTGCCTCTTTGACATTATGCATATCTCATTTGCATAACCAAAGAAAGATCTGTTTCGATTTTGAAAACTTTAAAAAAAGATTTGCTGGAAATTTTTGAATAAGGAACCACAGAGTAACCTACAGACTTTTTTAAAAAACAAGAGATAATTTACCAAGATGGAGACGAAGAATGATTGGAAATGAGCTCTGTTCTTTGACCCAAAGTTCTTCCTCCAGAGTACGGGTGTAGGAGAGAGGGCCTGGCGTGGACCCCAGGAGGTGTCACAGCCTGTTTCACCATCTACCTCACTTTTCTATAGCAGCAGTTCTTAACTTTTGGGGAGTCACAGAAAAGACCTTTTGAGTATCTATCTGAAGGGGATGAAAGCTGAGGACATTGTCCCCAGGGGGGATATGCGCAGACCCGCACATCCCATACACAATTTTAGAAAGTTTGTGGACTCCCAGACCTCTTCATGGCTCTGGGCCAAACATCCCAACTTTAAGAATCAAACGTAGCTGGTGGAAGTTAGAGTAGTTTAAATGTTTTCTTCAGAAGCAAGCTGGTGTGCTTGCATCAAAGCGAACTGAAAGGCAACCGCCTGCTAATCCACTGTTGTCAAGTGACCCACAGAGTATTAAGGTTCAGAAACTCCCGCAGTCAAAACTCGGCACTAATAAACTCAGACTTGTCTAAGGGACTTGCCAGTACAAGTCATATCGTAGGTTGCTCTGTGTATGTGTCTGTGTGGATGTGTGTTTTCACTGAGGGAAAACAAGAATGGGACACATAATCAAAAGGGTGCATGGAAAAGTCAGGAAAAGGTGAATTTCCTAAAAGAAAAATTATACAGGACTCACTAGCCTATTGAGAAATCTAAACACTACGGTTCAGAGAAAAGGCCTTGACAGAAAAGCTACAGAAAGTGGAGCCATGTCGCCATGTCGCCTAGACGACAGAGCCTCAAGTTGTTTTCTGGGGAGGAGATTAATCAAGTTTCAGTGTGCACAAAAGCCTGAAAAAGACAAAAGGGGCATAAATTGCTATTCAACAAAGTTTGCACAGGAATTGCAAAGAGATGGAACACTGTGAGCGAGCAACCCAGGGAAGATGTGCAGCGGCCACCTCCAGAGAGGTTTCAGAACGGAACAGACCGTGTTTACTCTTCATGGCCCAGTCCTTGAATAGTGGGGACACCGAGGTCTCTGTCAGCCCCCATCCTGTGAGGATTTCTCATGCCCTGAAGTAAAGCGAGATGCTGAGCGTGAGGGAGTTCAAGCCCACTCACCGCTGTCATTCATGTTTTCCAGGCGATAATGAAGGACTATCCTCCGTCGGAAACGGAGGAGAAGAACAAAATCGCCGCCGCCATCTTCTATTCCCTCAGTCTGGCCCAGCAAGGACTGCAGGGGGTGGAGCTGGGGTCCTTTCTCATAAAGCGAGTGGTGAAGGAGCTGCAGGTGAGCGAGGCACCGTCCTAGGACTGTCGTGGCAGAGTCCCCTCTTACCTTGCTGCAGGGTGGTCGGGCCCTAGGTCTTAGGATCGGTGATGGGCAAGAGGTGAAGACAGGATCCACGGGGAGGGAGGAGGGGGCAGAAGAGTGCCAGGGGCACTCCCCAGGAACCCTAAAGCCCCTCGAGGGATGGAAATAGTTGGCCACTAATGCAGACGTGATCCGAGAACATCAGCTTCTGTGGTTCTAACTTGCATGTCTCGTTGCAGCCCAGGAGGAGTGCCACCTTTCACTCTCACATGTCCCAATTCGAATTACACATTTCGTGGTCATTCTATCCACACCTGATTGTCCCCCACCCACCCTCGCCTCCATGCTCCAGGCCTCTGGCCCCTGACACTTCATCGGCTTGGGCTTTCCCATCACTTGAGGAAGTGTCGAGATTAGACCCGGCAGCTTGAAAAAGACTGGCTTTTATATATATATTCCTTCTTTTTTTTGCCCTGGGAAGAACACTTCAACGATCCTACAACAGCAATGTTCAGGCTCACTCTGGGTCTAGGCTTTTTAAAACTATCTCATAAGGGGCTTGAGTAAGCTAAGAGTAGAATCAAATTCTGAGGTAAAATAATTCGATTGTTAATAATTGGCTCTGAGAGTGGTGGTCTCCGCTTTGGGTGGTTTCAACACAGCTGTAGCAGAAGTTCTTCCTTAGAGAATGACAGAATGGAATTAAAATATTTACCTGCTTCATATTAAATTCATAATCAATTTCAAATTTGAGAAGTCGGGATTCAGTTGGATATCACCTTCATTAGAATCACTCTCTGCCACTTTTCCCCAGAGGTGATAAGAAGCCACATCTAATTAATATCCTATTTCCTTCTTTGCTGAAGGTGTAAATGAATGGGGCAGGAGGAGGGGGACTACAAGGGTAAGAAGGGCGATCAAAGGAGAGCAGAATCCAGGGTTCTGGGTAACACACCCATAGGTTCTGTTTCTGAATCAGTCAGAGTTGGCCCATCAGCCCAGTAGCATCCTGACAGTTGGCCACTCATCTGCCACAAGCTGAGAGCCAGAAAAGTCATCAGAATCTCGAAGGAAGCGTAGTCCTCCTGCACAAAAGTATTTATGGGGTCTATAAAAGCAAACACTAAGAGCCACTTTAAATGCCCAACGAAGAGAATGTAGTTAGGGAAATCATGGTATCATATCGTCTTTTGACATTATTCTGTTGTTAAAGTTATGTTTTGAATTTTAATGATAACGAGAAAAACTCATGATATAAGTTCATAAAGCAGGATTAAAATAAATGTCCCACCCATGTAAAAATTGCCTAGAGAAAGACCAGAAGGAGTTGTACTTTATCAGACTATTGAGAGTCGCTATCTCAGAGTAGTTAAGTATGGTGGATTACATTTATCATCAGAAAACATTGGATTTTTTAAATGATCATTGAGATCTCTGTGTAATTTGAACAGTAATGATTGATCCATATTGTCCGATATGGAGAAAGACCCATCGCCTCCCCCTTCTACCCTATCCCTTGCATCCACTGTGGTGTAGCTGGGCACTTATTTCATTCAGCAGTCATTAGGTACTAGAGTGCCAAGTACTGAACTAGATTCTGCGGCTGCAAAAAAGTCCATGGGAGGGGCATGGTGTGCCAGAATGACAAGATCTGTGGTCAGAAGACCACATACCAAGTCCCACTTCACAGCAGCCCAGCTCTGATTTCAGGCAAGTCTCCCAACTTTGCTACCAAATCAATGGTGCAGACAGAGACACCACCATAAAAGCTTGCCTTGGGAACTCAAGATGGCCTCCAAGGCCTGGCACACATCAAATTCTTCATAAATATTCCTTGACAAGAGAAAATTAGTGTACGTCCAATATCATTTTGTAAACTGTATAGTAGCATACAGAGGCTAATGATGCAGAAGTGATAAATGGAGAGGTGTTTCTTTAAGGTGACACACCTTCTGAACTCCCTTTGTGTGTGTGTTTTCTCCACCTTCCTTTCCCCCCCCCAACCATGCCTTACAGAAAGAGTTTCCTCACGTTGGGACATTTTCAAGCCTGTCTCCTATACCTGGATTCACCAAATGGCTTCTGGGGCTCCTGAAATCGCAAGCGAAGGAGCACGGGAGGAATGAACTATTCACAGATTCTGAAAGCAAAGAAATCTCAGAGATCACAGGCGGTCTCGTGAATGAGACCCTCAAGGTCATTCTCAGCAGCAACGAATGGATAAAGTCTGAAACGCTGGTCAGGGTGCTGCAGGGCCCCCTGATGAGGCTCTGTGCCTGGTACCTGTACGGAGAGAAACACCGGGGCTACGCCCTGAACCCCGCGGCACACTTCCACCTGCAAAATGGGGCTGTGATGTGGCGCATCAACTGGATGGCCGATGTCAGCCTCAAGGGCATCACTGGCTCATGTGGCCTGATGGTCAACTACCGATACTTCCTGGAGGAAACGGCCACCAACAGCACCAGCTACCTCAGCTCAAAGAACATCAAAGCTTCCGAGCAGGTCCTCAGCCTGGTGGCCCAGTTCCAGAAGAACAGCAAACTTTAAACCTTTCCTAAAGCAGATGTCCCCGGCTCAGAAAAGGATGATTTTCTGGAAGAGTCAGGGGGTTATGTATCAAAAGGAGCTCTTTTAGTAAATCAAAGTTTCACTGTGTCCTCTCACCCGCAGTAGGGTCACACTGGGAAGCGGGACTTTGACCTTCACTGCGGGAGGAAAGTTATAATACCTGAGTGCAAGGCACTGTGGGTAAAGCTGGACATGGCTGGAAGGAGACGCCGTGTTCTCTCCAGGAGAACCTGCCGTTGCCTTTGGCCTGGCTTCCTGCCCACGGTTGGTGCCATGGCACCTCCATCTTCAGCAAGCCCTGGAGCCTCTGCTCTAGCCATCACTCTCCACTCGTTGCAGAGGGATAGAGGGCTATGCTACATTTTACTAGTTGTGTTTCAGAGAACACAAAAGGTGTTGCTGCTTAGGGCTTCGATTTGATTATAGACTAAATTTTCAGTGATTCAAGTTCATAATGAAAATAATGGTAAAGAACAAGTTTGTTCTGTAAAGCATTAAAAACATGGTTATTTAAGATCATGTGGTGGTCGTCTTTGAGATCCGAGACCCTATATGCTGGAATCAGCTCTGAAATGTCAACTGCGCGTTTGGTGCCCGTTTTCTCCACCTTGCTTTCCCCACCCCAACCATGCCTTACAGAAAGAGTTTCCTCACGTTGGGACATTTTCAAGCCTGTCTCCTATACCTGGATTCACCAAATGGCTTCTGGGGCTCCTGAAATCGCAAGCGAAGGAGCACGGGAGGAATGAACTATTCACAGATTCTGAAAGCAAAGAAATCTCAGAGATCACAGGCGGTCCCGTGAATGAGACCCTCAAGGTCATTCTCAGCAGCAACGAATGGATAAAGTCTGAAACGCTGGTCAGGGTGCTGCAGGGCCCCCTGATGAGGCTCTGTGCCTGGTACCTGTACGGAGAGAAACACCGGGGCTACGCCCTGAACCCCGCGGCACACTTCCACCTGCAAAATGGGGCTGTGATGTGGCGCATCAACTGGATGGCCGATGTCAGCCTCAAGGGCATCACTGGCTCATGTGGCCTGATGGTCAACTACCGATACTTCCTGGAGGAAACGGCCACCAACAGCACCAGCTACCTCAGCTCAAAGAACATCAAAGCTTCCGAGCAGGTCCTCAGCCTGGTGGCCCAGTTCCAGAAGAACAGCAAACTTTAAACCTTTCCTAAAGCAGATGTCCCCGGCTCAGAAAAGGATGATTTTCTGGAAGAGTCAGGGGGTTATGTATCAAAAGGAGCTCTTTTAGTAAATCAAAGTTTCACTGTGTCCTCTCACCCGCAGTAGGGTCACACTGGGAAGCGGGACTTTGACCTTCACTGCGGGAGGAAAGTTATAATACCTGAGTGCAAGGCACTGTGGGTAAAGCTGGACATGGCTGGAAGGAGACGCCGTGTTCTCTCCAGGAGAACCTGCCGTTGCCTTTGGCCTGGCTTCCTGCCCACGGTTGGTGCCATGGCACCTCCATCTTCAGCAAGCCCTGGAGCCTCTGCTCTAGCCATCACTCTCCACTCGTTGCAGAGGGATAGAGGGCTATGCTACATTTTACTAGTTGTGTTTCAGAGAACACAAAAGGTGTTGCTGCTTAGGGCTTCGATTTGATTATAGACTAAATTTTCAGTGATTCAAGTTCATAATGAAAATAATGGTAAAGAACAAGTTTGTTCTGTAAAGCATTAAAAACATGGTTATTTAAGATCATGTGGTGGTCGTTTTTGAGATCCGAGACCCTATATGCTGGAATCAGCTCTGAAATGTCAACTGCGCGTTTGGTGCCCAGCCAGCCTGTTGGCGTGTTCGGGTGCTCTGTGGAGAGGGCCTGGAGCGTGAGGCATGAGCACTAGGCGACGGGAGAAGCGGCGCTGCGGTCGTGGCAGGGAGGAGGGCGGGCACGCGTGTCTGTGTCTGTGCTCGCCGTGTTTGTGCTGTTCTCAGGCAGACAGGTCGCCTTGCCTTCCTTGCTTTTTATCTTCCAGGCCCGTCCCCTGGTCCTTCTCTGTTGTCTTCTGCATGTGACTTGTTGCCTGGTAACAGTCAGCATGGTGGTCACACTAGGACTTCTGCTTTTCCCGAATCCTGGTGGAAGAGGTCTAGTGCTCTTGTGCAACACTCTGAGCTCATTCTGGAAGCCCATGGCTCCAGAGTTACTTGCTGGCCCATGATCAGCCATCACAGCATCCGGTTAGGCTCCCTTTTAAGGACAGAATTCCTCATGGTGGGTGGTGGGGACTGCCAGTGTCCCAGTCCCTCAGGTGTCTATTACCCCACTGCTGTGCCAGGCCCCCTACTTGTGCTAGTCACCTCCCAGGCAACTGCTCTATGGCCAGCATGCTCTAGAAAAGAGTGGATGTGGCTGGTGCTGTGGTCTGGATGTTTGTGTCTCCTCAGAATTTACATACTGAAATCCTAACCCCCAAAGGTGATGCTGTTAATAGGTGGGACCTTTGGGAGGTCATGAGGGTGGAACTCTCATAAGTGGGATTAGTGCCCTTATAAGAGAGACCCCATAGAGCTCCCTCCCTCCTTCCGCCATGTGAGGACACAATGAGAAGTCTGCAACACGGGGGAGAGCCCTCACTCAACCGTGCCGGCACCTTGACCTCCAATTTTCAGACTCCAGAACTGTAAGCAATAAGTTTCTGCTATTTATAAGCCACCCATTCTGTGGTATTTTATTAAAGCAGCCAGAATTGACATGGATGGATGGACAAGGATGGATAGATAAGGATGCACGGGGCTCTCTTTTCCATACCTCAGTCCAGATCACTGAAGGAAAAGAGCTTATGAGGCCTCCTTTGTACTGCGCTTGAGCTGAAACCCACCTCGTGTCATGAATGTTGCAGGAAACCCCTCATTGCTTACTTCTCACCTGACAGCTCCTAGAAGGCAGAAGGTGGCTAAGATGGCCTGGCTTCCCATTTCCTCTGAGGGATGATCAGAATGCCCAGTGTACGTATGTTGTCCTTCACACAATGACCATGGCAGAGCAGGACGCGAAAGCAGGCAGCAGCTGGCTTTAGAGGCGACAAAAAGTTATTCTCTGGATAGCGTGAATTTACATCCTACAGGAGAGCTACCTGCTGCCTAGGTGATGTCATCGCAAAGGGGATACAGTGGCTATGGCGCTGTCTCCCAGGCCTAGTTTGCATTCTCCTTGCTCTTAGGGGACCCTGCCAACCACTCTGACCACAGTATCGTCCTCTGGAAAGTGCCCCGCAGTGTGGCAGGCTTACAGTAGGTGCTCAGTAAATTGTCATCATCAGTAGTCAGTTCACATAGCGCCCCAGACTCAAGGCTGAAGCTGTACTCCACCGCCCTCATGCGGCCAGCTCCTCCTCGGTAAGCACCCCCGGCCCTGCCCACCATGACTGTTCTCATCTCTAATGGCTTTGCTGTCTGCGGTTCAGACAGACCCCAGATTTTTCCATCCCATTCAAGAGGGTCTCACCGGAGGCTCAGTCCTGGGCTCTGCTGGCATTTAGAATAATCCTGATTTAAGGGCGGCTAATGGACCTGGGGCTAACCCGCTCTGACTCATTCATGGGCCCCTTTTTGTTCTGAAAGGCAATGCATGGCATAAAGGGTTGAGGCTACCGGCTTTGGCTCCAGCCACTTCCCAGCTGGCTGTCCTGGAGCAACCCATCTGCTCTCGCTTTGCCTCAGTATTCCCATCTGTAAATGGAGTTAACCACAGCACCTACCTCAGGGTCTGCTGAGATGACGTACGTAAAGCATTTAAAGCACACTAGTTATCATCTTTATTACAAATGTTCCTGCATTTGGACTTTGACTAGGGACCACTGTTGAGCTTACCTTAATGTAGGTTCTGGAATCGATCATCTCTTTATTTGGCTGTTACAGTGTTTGGCAGTTTTCTGGCTTCTGCTCGCAGTTTCTACCAGGTGACTAGGTGGAGTAATTTGTTCCCAGAAATTTCTACTTTGAGCACTGTGTGAATGCTTGAGGCATCCTCTCCACCCCCTGAAAACTAAGCAGCACCCCACTTCCATTTGAGGAGCCCTAGGCTCAGCAGCATGGCCCAAGGTCTCCCAACCAGCCCCGAACCAGCTCTGCCTTGCTGGCTGGAGTCACTCTGATTTCCGCCTTCTCCTTCTCGCCCCGCTCCCCCCCGCCCTCCTTCCCTTTCTGAGAGCTGGGTCTTCACTGCCTCCAGGTCTAGAGCTACTAAGGCTTGTATAGCTCTGCCCTCTTTTGGTCGTCTGAGGGCATAACACTCCTGCAATGGGGCCACTTTTTCCTTGTTCGGCATGTGCTTAAAAGGGACGGGGGTGTGGCTCTCTTAACATTTTGCAAGCATCAGCTTATTCTGGGCTTTGTTTGAAATTAAGCCTAAGGAGCATTTAAGACTTAAATGGAGTGAACTTCTCTTTCTGATTTTTAATTCTAAGACATTCATTAGAATATGAAATTCTTTTTGATCCATTCTTAGAAACAAAAGCCGCGGGATGGTTTCTATTCACCACAGAAAGTTTCTGCATTATTTGCACCTTAGCAAAATCAGTTGAGGTGAACACAGGTCTCTTTCTTGCCTTTGATTTTTTTTCTGAATTACATTTGCATTTCTTAAATAGCTAATACTTAATCATCAAGGAAAGGAGAAAGAAACGGCATTTATCTCTGCTCTGGGCCAGATGTTCTCCACACTAAAGCCTGAGGGAGGCTTCAGTTTATTTTTCATTTGCATATGAGGAAACTGAGGCTCTGAGAGGGCTGAGCAGCTGGTGAGGTTGGAGCTGGGACAGGAGCCCAGGCCTGACCAGCATCAGACTCTGTGCTTTGCCACCTGGGTCCCGACAAGACAGCCCAACAAAGCTGCAGAGAGGAGGAGCCCAGAGAGACTGGCTCGGGAACTCCCGCTCTTAGAGCACTGCTGTGTGACCCAAGACCTATCAGGGGACATTCCCTTTAAACCCAAAGAGGGAAATTAAAAAGCCACATTTCTCTTTTACGTGGTCCCACTTCCACCTCTCCTGAGCTAGACAGTGTCCCCAAATCCCCCTGAGGTTAAGTGGGGCTGCCCACCTGGCTGTGAATGCAGGTCTGCATGTCACTGCCCTGCACAGAATGCTAACATTAGTGGCCCTCTCCTGGGGCTATGAGAGGAGATTCCAGGAGAGTCCAGCATGGTGCCCACTGCACAGCAAGGTCTTATGTGTGGTGGCTCCTTGGGTGGTGACAGTGCTGTGGCTGGAAAGGCAAGAAGCCCACGAATCCCTCTGCTGTCTCAGGCCACCGTCACATGGGATCAGAGAGACTCATTCTGATGCAAAAAATAGTTCTGAGCCTGGAACAGCTGTATCTGGATCAAGGGCCATCGTGGGTGCTGTCCACCCCATTTGCCACTAGATAGCGGTGTTGCCTCTTCTTTACCTGAACTCGGAGCTTAACCTAAATTCTTAGCAAGAACAAACCCACCCTCGTGTTAAACCTGTACCCAGATCCTGCACATCAGGCTCCCCATTCTCTCACAGGAGCTAGATAACAATACGCAGAGCCTGCAGGGGCCTGGGGCTGCCCAAGTCTGCTGCTCTCCTGGCTTTCACATAATTTCCCCACCCCCACTCCCCCTGCCAGAGCTCACAGAATCAAAAAGTCCTTAAAAGTCTTTTGAAAGAACGAGAATTAGAAAAGGATGAAATGAAATTATCACTTTGTCCAAGAACCACCAGATTAGCACACATCTCACATGGGAAACACTTTGAAGGACCCTGTCTCTGGACACACAAAGCAAACTTTTCCCCTTGGGCTTTTAAGGCACTCTCTTCAGATATGTTCTGGAGAACCCACCGTCTGGCCAGAGGAACTGCCCTCTGTGGCCAGGAGGTGGCTCCACAGTGTGGCCTGGTGACTGCTTGACACAGTGATGTTGGGGGACTGGCCAAGCTCTGTGGGCCTTCCGGAGCTCCAAAGATACTTTATTAAGTTTTAAAAGTTGTATTCGTAATTACTTTTAACTGCAGCAAAAAA